CGGTGACGGTGGCGATCACGATGAAGATGCATTGTGGAGCAGCACCATTGACAAGAAGGTGGACAGTGATGACGACGATGATGACGACGACGATGATGATGATGATGATGATGATGATGATGATGAGGAGGAGGAGGAGGAGGAGGAGGAGGAGGAGGAGGAGGAGGAGGATGCCGCTGACGCGGAGGAACAGGATGATGAGGGCAAGGACAAGCATGCTACTGCTCCTGCTGCTGCTACTGCTATTGCTGCTGCTGCTGCTCACGGCGGTGATGGGAAGGCACCCGCAGTGATGAGCGACACTGCACAAGGCAGCGACGCGCAAGGCCAAGCTAACACGAGCAGCGGTTGCAAGGTTGTTACCGACTACCGTCTTGGCGGTCGCAGCGCACGCCCGCGTGCCTTCTACCCTGGTCACGACAACCCGACGCAGGCAATTGCCGAGGATGTTGAGCTGGTGGCTGTCGAGCCAGATTCTTTGCTCGTGTGCAAGAAAAGGCGCAAACAGCAACAGCAGCAGCTCCGAGCACACATGTCGCGCACATGCTACGTGTGCTCGGAAGAGCTGAGTGCCATTGAAGACATGGCCGAGCACTTTCGCGACAACCACCCTGGGTTCCGCGCGTTCCTCTGCCGCAGGTGCGGGCGTGTGCAGAAGGGGATTGGTCGACACAGCGTGCACATCACCAATTGCCACGTGCGCAACACGTGCTGCCCCTCGTGTCGCCGGGGCAACTTCAAGACATTCGAGGCCTTTAGGCAGCACATTGCCGTGCACCTGAGCGAGATGCCGTTCATATGTCGGCACTACTCCTGTCACGACCGGTTTGCGCGCGTGGAGGACTATCTTGCACACGCACGAGCGAAGCACAAGCTGCTGCTGAACGCCGACATGGAGCTGATCAGCCTCAGGGTGATTGAGCTTGTCTTGCAGGAGGCCAGCTGCGGTGGCGCCGCACAGGAGCAGGGGGAGGCCAGCTGATGGGGTCATGTGTGTGTTCTATGTGTTTGTGTGTGTGTGTGTGTGTGTTTGTGTGTTCTATGTGTTTGTGTGTGTGTGAGTGTATGTGTTGTATGTGTGTATGCCTGTGTCTGTGTTTGTGTGCATGCTGGATTTGCTCTCTGTGCCCTGGTGCTTGCGTCCACTGCAGTTGACTTCTTTCTCTTTAATTTCTCGCAATAAACGACTCGACATTCCTTCTGCTGTATCGTCCAACACCACACTCACTCAATCATTCATTCACTCACTCACTCTCTCACTCACACTCTCTCTCACTAACTCACTAACTCACTCACACACTCTCTCTCTCACTAACTCACACACTCACACACACACAAACACACACACACTCACTCACTCACTCACTCACTCACTCACTCACTCACTCACTCACTCACTCACTCACTCACTCACTCACTCACTCACTCACTCACTCACTCACTCACTCACTCACTCACACACACACACACCTCCACCATGACCACGATCACCGCTACTGCCCTGCTGACCCCAAACTTGAATGCGAATACCGCCCATCAGATGCAGTCGTCGGGCACATCGTAGACGCGGGGCGGGTCCGGGTGCTCCTTGGTCTGGTACACGCTGAACGTTCGCCCCATTGCATAAACGCGCGGGTGCAGTCGCTGCGATGGCGCAACGCGGCGACCAAGCCTGCACACAGACCGTATTTGTGGTATGTCAGTGTGTGAATGTGTGAGTGTGTGAGTGTGTCAGTTGTGTGGATGTGTCAGTGTGAGTGTGTGCGTGGATGGGGTGAGAGGGGGAGATGGGACAGTAGAGACAGTGCGCATTGTAGCTGTGTGCATGTGTGTTTACAAGTTTCAGTCCACCCCTTTCTTCGGAATGCACGTGCACGTGTCGATTTCATGAACCCACCCGACACGAATGCGAGGCCTGCGCTGGCCTCCAACTTGCTGGCGACGCTGCGGCTGCACTTGCTGTTGCCCATGATCATAGCCACGATGACGGTCGTGCTCGCGACACCGATATTGCATGTCTTGCTCTTGCTCTTGCTCTTGCTCTTGCTCTTGCTGTTGTTGTTGTTGCGGGGGTGCTGATGTTGTTCGTGTTGTCGCCTCAGCTGTCAGGCGAGCATGCGTCCGCCCAAAGCCCTGCCGCTGGTGTTGGGGTGTGCGGTAGCTGTAGTCATCGGTCATGAGCTGCTCGATGGCGCTCAGGGATGGTGATGACGCGGTGCCAAAAGTGCTTGGCTCCACATACTTCCCCGTGCCTGCAAGCAACGAGGATGCACCACGCTCGGGTGTGGCGGGACAAACGCTGATAATTGTTGGTTCTGGTGATGGTGGTGGTGTTGTTGGCGCTGGTGATTGTGCCGGTGACGGTGAGGTCGCAGTGGCCGGGCTCGTTGGTCTGACTGTGGTCACAGGAACAGCTGTCGTGGTGTTGGTTGTCGTGGTGTTGGTTGTCACGGCGTTGGTGTCGGTGTTGACGGTTGTTGGTGATGGAGCCACCGGGGGTGCCCACTTGGGTCGTTTGGTGGCGGTGGAGTTGGCGCCCAGCGGCTGCGCTTCAGAAGCTTTGATCTATTTCGAAGGTCGTGAGAACATGAGATGTCAGGGGCAGAAACACAGTGCAAGATGCAGTGATGGCAAACAGACGAGGCAGCAAGTGATCGTGTTGGCAGAGTCCTCAGCAAATGTTACCCTCACACACGGATATGCACGCACGCACACAGGCTCAACACATAGCTGATGCTTTGCTACTTGCCTTGGCCGGTAGCTTGGTGCGAGAGTGGTCTGCATCATCTTCGTTGTTTCCAAGCGCGGGGAAGAGTGCACGAGAGGCGGTCAAGTGTGACGCGGTCATGGTGGCACTGTGGCTGTGAGCACTGTTGTCGGTGCTGCTGGTGCCGCTGCTGTTGGTGGTGCTGCTGTTGTCTTGGTGGTGGTGCTGTTGTCGTTGGTGGTGGTGCTGTTGTCGTTGGTGGTGCTGCTGTTGTCGTTGGTGGTGCTGCTGTTGTCGTTGGTGGTGCTGCTGTTGTCGTTGGTGGCACTGTGGCTGTGAGCACTGTTGTCGGTGCTGCTGGCAACGATTGTCGTCTTGCAGTCCTCATCGTTACGGCCAGCGTTCATCTTCATGCCGTCGTTGATAGCGCTGTCGTTGTTGTTGTGTTCGTGGGTGTCATCGCAGGTGGTGCTCTTGCAGTCTTCATCATGGCTGGTGATGGTCGTCTTCGTGCTGTCATGGTTGTAGTTGTTGAGAACAATATTTGTGTTGCAGCTGCTGTCGCCATCTTGGTTATTGCTGGTGGTGCCTTCACTGTCTTTGCTGTTGTTGTCGTGATCGTGGTGGTGGACATTGGACTCAACTGGAACTGCAACACTGTCGCAAGTAGAAGCAAGCTGTGCATTTGGAAGACGTGACGGCACAGATGTTGCTGGTACAACAGCTGTCAGCTGGGGTGACTCATCAGAAGCAGCGTGTCGTGGGGACTGGCTTGAGTTAGTATTGTAGTTGGTATTGCTGTCCTTGCTGTGGTTGGTGTTGGTGAGTTGAATCTTCTCAACGCCAACTGCCGCACCCACTTCTCCACAGGACGTCAAACCCACATCCGTGCTATGAGCAGTGCTGTTGATAACGCCGTTAGGGGTGTCCGTGATGGCATTGCTGTCGGTGGTGGCTGTGGTGCTGTTGGTGGTTGCTGTGCTGGCCCTGGTGCCATCAGGGGTGTCCCTGTGCTTGATGCTGCTATTGCTGCTGCTGTTGTTGTTGTTGTTGTTGTTGTTGTTGTTGTTGTTGTTGTTGTTGTTGTTGTTGTTGTTGTTGTTGTTGTTGTTGTTGTTGTTGTTGTTGTTGTTGTAGTTGCTGTTGTTGTTGTTGCTGCTGTTGTTGCTGTTGTTGCTGTTGTTGTTGCTGTTGCTGTTGTTGCTGGTGGTGGTGGTGTCGGCATCACTTGTCTGCGGAGCCACGGTGTCACTGTTGTGAACCGCAATGTCTGTACCTGCTTCCTCTTTCTCCTCCCCATCCTGTTTTGTTGTCATTGCTTTCTCCGGTTCTGGGTCCTTCATTAGAATCATCATATCCCGCTCATCTTCTGCTGACGTGTTGATGGCCGTGGTAGCAACAGTATTGGTGCTGGTGGTTGCATCAGTAACGATGGCGGTACTTGGGGTGACAGCCCCGGTCGTGAATGCTGGGGTGGCAGTGTCAATGTTTGCAGGGATGTCGGCGGTGGCAGTGGATGCAGGCGTGGCGTGGGCAGCTGAATCTGGCGAGTTGATGACCTTGGTGCCAGTGCCAGCAGTTGTCGTCACAGGGTTGGTGCCGGTGATAGCTGCGGTGGTGACGGCAGCTCTGCCAGCCGTTGTGGGAGGTGATACAGGGGTGGCAGCTACATCCGCCGACGGCAAGCAGCCAGCCGTAGGCAACGGCAACAATGACGTGAGCTGACCTGAGCGCATGTGTGCTTCTTGATCCTCCCTGCTGTCCTGCTTCTCCTCCTCAAGAACTTGCTGTTCTTCTTGCCTTGCTTGGTCTTCTTGTCTTGCTTGTTCTTGTGAGTGCCCGACTACGTCTTGCACAACAGGGACCTGCACTGCGCTGTCAACCACGCCTGAGACTTGAGGAGCTGGCTCTGAAGCTGGTGCAGCTTGCTCGACGCTGCATGACAGCAATACTTCGCCTTGCTCTCGCAGATGTTGTTGTTGTTGTTGTTGTTGTTGTTGTTGTTGTTGTTGTTGTTGTTGTTGTTGTTGTTGTTGTTGTTGTTGTTGTTGTTGTTGTTGTTGTTGTTGTTGTTGTTGTTGTTGTTGTTGTTGTGAAGGTGTAAGAGAGGTGTCGCCAGCTTCAGCTGCAGTGGAGGTGCGAGGCGAAGTTGTGTATGTGTATGTCTCTTTGCGTTCGCCTTGTGCAGGAACTGACCCATCCACGAACGTTGCAACGGCATCAATGGCCTTGGTATCCTCATCCTGGTTCCTAAATACAGGCGTGATTGTCGTTGGCGGTGACACAAAGTGAAGATACTGCTGCTGCTGCTGTTGCTGCTGCTGCTGCTGCTGCTGCGGTTCTTGTCGTAGCTGCTGGGGTTCTTGTGGTGGCTGTTGTTGCTTTTGGTGTTGTTGTTGATGAGCGGGTTGTTGGTGGTGCTGGTGCTGGTCGCCTTGCTGGTACTCTTGATGCTCTTGACGCTGCTGCTGTTGTACCCAGATGTTTGGTGCTTGCAAGACATTGCTTGATGCCGTGGTGTGCAGGTTGAACGGCATGACTTGGCGCGGGCCGTTCACGTTGTTCGTGGTCTTGAGCTGTACAGCATGTCCCTCGCCTTCTCTTGTTGCTATCAGCTGCGCTGGCAATGGCGCAGCAGCCTCCTCGTGTGTGGGTGGCGGCAAGTCCAAAGCCGTGCTGGAAGAGCTCGCAGGAGGAGGGTTGACAGCGTGTTGCTGGTCTTTGGGCTGCTCAGCCATCGCTGTTGTGGGCACGAAGCGTTCTTGCGTTGTCGTTGACAGGGCCAAGCCTTGCTGTGGTTGCTGTTGCTGTGGTTGCTGTGGTTGCTGTGGCTGTGGTTGAGGCAGCTGTGGGGCTCGTTGCTGGTGCTGCTGCTCCTGCAGGAACTCCTTGATCGTCATTCGAAAGGCGTCCATCTTCGCTGTTTGCGTGTCGTGTGTGGTGCGTGGCAGTGACAAGAGAGCGCGAGTGGGACAAACTGAAAATGACCCGCGAAAAGCAGAGCAGAAAGGAAGAGAAGGGAAGGAAGAGAAGGGAAGGAAGAGAAGGGAAGGAAGAGAAGGGAAGGGAGGGGAAATGGAAGGGAAAGAGATGGATGCCTTGCAAGTACCATGACGCAGTGAGGCCGTGAAAGCGCAGGGCTTGTCTTCGCTTCACAGTTCAAGACCCCCCCAAAGCCTTTGCACTCACTCGTTCAGTTCGCATCCCTTCATTCGCATTCAAGCAGTCAAGCAGTCAAGCAGTCAAGCGTCTGTTTGAACCTCAGCAAATGTGCGGCTTTACCGTGCCTGCATGCAAGGGCCATCTTGCCGCACACACACACACACACAGCACTCGTCGTTTCGTCTCTCTTCACAAACGTCAGCACATGTGTGGTGGTTGAGAGGAGGAGGGTGCATGGTTTCTATGGTTTGAGGACTTGGACTTGTGTTCCCGCGCAACCAGCAGGACACATTTCCCGCCAAACGAGAAGCAAGACAAGAGGTGTATATTTTATGCTGTCGCGTACAGCTGGTGGAACTGGAAGCTGCGCACCAATGAGTGTTCGTAGGAGTGCGCTGCGGAGGCAGTTGCAGCGCCTGTTTGCGTACAACCACTGGGCAAATACCAAGATCCTGCACTGCATGGCGCAGGTGTGCAAGGAGGAGGCACTGTTAGTTTGGTCTGTCTGGTGGACAAGCAAAGCAAGAAGGAAGTGTGCCGTGTCGCCTATGTTGTTGGGAGACTGCTGTGTTCGATTTGTGGCGTCGTGAAGTGTGAGTCTGTTTTGTTTGTCGTTGTGTCTTGTAGGCAGTGCATGGTCTTTGAACTGACCTTTGACCCTTCACTTGATTTGACAGGTGAAAGCGGAGGATGACCACAGCGACAGCCTTTGCATGCGGTACGGCACAACTCGTTGTGAAGATGCTGTGTGTGTGTGCAACTGTGTGTGTGTGTGTGTGCAACTGTGTGTGTACAACTGTGTGTGTGTGTACGTGCAACTGTGTGTTTGTGTGAATCAGTCAGTGAGTCAGTCTGCCTGGCAGAGCAAACACCAGCGGACTAACGATGTACCTCTTCTGTGTCTTGCTGGTTGCCGCTCAAGGTCCATGCATGGAACGCTCTCGCACATCATCCTCGGCTCAAGGCTGTGGTTCCTGCGAATGACAGGTGTGTGCAGTGAACGAATGCCCTTATTGCAGCTGCAAGGCGTGGTGTGATGCTCACGCCTTAGCTTTCACCTGGCTGAAGCCCACTGCCATTTCTTCTTTCTCATCATCCACTCAATCCTGCATGGCCTTCACCACCTCACACACACACACATAGGTGGCGATGTTTCCAAGTACAATCACCTATGGAAGACTCCCTACGCCGCACCAGGTGTGTGTGTGTGTTTGTGTGTGTGTTTATGTGTGTTCATGTGTTTACATTATGTGTGTTTATGTGTGTATTTGCATGGACGTCGCAGTCCGCTGCTACCCCTTTCCTCACGTGCACATGCATCACCTTGACCATGCTCAGGCGACACCTCATCACCGTGGGAGACGGTGTTTGATCCAGCAGATCTTGCCAAGGAGCTGCAGCACGAACACGACTCGTGCGTTGTTGGATGTGTGTGTGTGTGTGTGTGGATGTGTGGTTGTATGGCTTGTTTGTGTATGTGTATGCTTGTGCGTGCGCGCGCGTGTGTGTATTGGCTTGCATGTTTGCTTTTCGTGTGCTGCTTCTTCGTTGCGTCGGTTGATGTGCGTGCACGAGCTCTGCCCGCTGTTGTTCTGTTGCCATATGCATGGCTGATTGTCACACCCGGGTTCCATTTTCACACTCACCACCTCTTGTGCGCGCTGTGCTGCGGATATCATCAGGTGGGTTGGCTTGATCGAGTCCCTGTCTGATGATGAGCTGGAGCAGTCGTTCTCCTACCAGGACACAAAGGGTGTGTGAATGTACATGGATTTGTATGGGTGTGTATGAAGATGTGTGCGTGTGTGTATGAAGATGTGTGTGTGTGTGTGTTGTGTTTGTGTGTGTCAGTGTGCGTGTGCCAGTGAACGCATGCAAGCACAATGTGAGTGTTGGTGTGCGCGAGCAGTGTTGTTGGTCCTCGCCGCCTGCACGTCACATAGTTCTGGTGTTCAATCTTAACACGTTGTGTGTGTGTTTTGTTGCAGGCAACTCCTATTCATCCGTTCGCTCTGATATCATGGTCCACATTGTCAACCACAGCACCCACCACCGCGGCCAGATATCGTGGGTTGTGTTACAGTGTCTGTCTGTCTGTCTGTCTGTCTGTCTGTCTGTCTGTCTGTCTGTCTGTCTGTCTGTCTGTCTGTCTGTCTGTCTGTCTGTCTGTCTGTCTGTCTGTCTGTCTGTCTATCTGTCTGTCTGTCTGTCTGCCTGCCTGTCTGTCTGTCTGTCTGTCTGCTGTGAAGCGTGATGCGCTGCCGTGTTGTTCAATTGTCTCATGTAATTCGTGGTGCACTCATGCAGTGCTTGTTGTTCTCAGCCCTCTTTTCCTCTCCACGGAAAGTTACTGGAAGCTATAAACAATTGTCGTCTTGTCACAAACTCCACTGAACCCCCCAATACAGCAACACCTTTGAACCGCCAACACCAACAACCAGCTATGCTGTCTCAACGTGCCGCAGCCACCACATCGGCTGTTCTCCCCCGTCTCACTGCTGCGTCTGCCCGTGAGTGGTGGCTGTGGTTATTCTCTGTCTTTGCGTGCTTGTGTGTATATGTGTGTGTGGGTGGGTGGTCGTGCATGGGCGTACGGGTGATGTTTGCGTTTGTGTGTCTTTGTGTGTGTGTTTGATGATGTGTTTGTGTTTTGCCTTTGTTGCTGCCAAATCGCAATCGCGCCACCCTGCATCAGTTGAGCGAGGAAACCACAGCAGCAACAGCGGCAACAATACCAACCGTGTCTAACCCTTGTGTCTCACGGTGCTTCACTGCTCCCCCTCCCCTCATTTGTTTCCACATCATCCCTGCACGCACACACCACAGGTGTCAACACACATGGCCAGCGTCGCACCGCTTCCCGTGAGTCGTTGAGTTGCACCAATGTTTGTGTGCGATTGTGTGTCTGTGCATGTGTCTGTGATGTGTGCTTGTTTGTTTGTTTGCTTGTTTTCGGTTGTATTTGTCCATACTGGGAAGAGTGTGTTTGCTGGGCTGCTTGCTAACAACCATATGTATCCCAGTCCTTGAACGCAATGCACGAATACACTCTGACACATGCACACGCGCTCTCACACTGCTTGGTTGTGTGTTTGTTTGTTTGTCTCCGTTTCCAGTCAAGGCCGCTGGGCCGCGGGTGGCCCTGATTGAGGGTGTGCGCACCCCTTTCCTCATGTCCGGCACCGAGTGAGTCTCCTCTTCTCTCTGCAATGCGTGGTTGTGCGCGTGTCCGTACTGGATGTGCTTGCCTGCCTTCTTACCCTTTTGTTTGCTTCTTTCTCACCACTGTTCACCGCTTCCCTTACCTTGCCCTTGTGTCGTGCGTCGTGCCCGCCCCCAGCTACAATGACATGCAGTGCCACGACCTCTCCCGCGAGGCCCTCAAGTGAGTACTCCTACGTGCGTGCGTGTGTGTGCGTGGGTTGTCAGCGTGCATTTGTAACCGTGTGTTTGTGCGAATGTCTTTGTGTCCGTCTTCGTTGAGTGTGTTGAGTTGATCATGCTGCATGAAGCCCAAATCCCTCGACACGCACTCAATCCCCACGCCATATCATCATTCCTGGACCCACGACACCGCATCTCATTTCCATATCATCGCTCATGTCAAATCTCACCCCATCTTACCTCATGGTTGTGCACACCAGGGCTCTGCTGAAGCGCACGGCCATTGATAAGTCGCTGATCGACTACGTGTGCGTCGGTAACGTGCTGCAGGAGGTCCGCACCAGCAACGTCGCCCGCGAGGTGAGCGCGCACCACGCGTGATGGTGGTGATGATTGTTTTTTGGGAAGGGGGGGGGGTAGTGATGGTCATGGTGTGCTCTTGTGTGGCGCTGTATCATCTTTTCGCTTTGATTTCGGATCGCCCAATTGTGTTCGTTTCACCCATCCATACTGACGTACCCTCGCGCGTGACTTGGTTCGTACTTGTGTGTGTGTGCGTGTGTGTGTGTGTGTGTGTGTGTGTGTGTGTGTGTGTGTGTGTGTGTGTGTGTGTGTGTGTGTGTGTGTGTGTGTGTGTGTGTGTGCCTGTGTGTGTGTGTGTCTGTGTGTCTGTGTGTCTCTGTGTGTGTCTGTGGGTGGCAGTCGATGCTTGAGGCCGGTCTGAACCTCAACACCCCCGCGCACACC